GTGAAACCAGGGGACGCCTTTGGCAGCTGATCCACATGGGGGCTGAGCTCTTTAGAGCTGGCTAGTGTTTCCAAGCCTGAACACTCCATTCTCACTGTCACCTCAGGACTCAAAGAAGTCCAGCCCAAAGCTGGAGGATGCTGGCAAGGTGGGGAGCATGGAGCCAGACATGCTGAAGAAGCTGGTGAACAACTTGGTGCCCGCCCATCTGCGCGGGGACACCTTCTTCGTGCCTGCCTTCCTGGCCATCTACAGGAGATTCGCCACCCCGCAGCAGGTGCTAGATCTCAGGTGTGCTCCACCTCCAAGTCATGGGGCCCTGGACCATTGGGAAGCTCTTGGGGATGAACCCCCTGAAACGTTTTGCACCCTAATATTCCCTGAGGATAATGCTTTACTCAGAGGACTCCTGTTCACATGGTTTATTCAACCAAATAGGTGGGGCCCCAGAACAGTAAACCTAGGTCCGGCTCTGGGTAAGAGATGGGGTCCTGGATCTGTAAGGTATCCCCAATCCGCCCCTTGAAGGAACTGTCTAGATGGAACTTGATTTTCCTAGGTTCCTGCCTAGAGGAACACAGAGCGGGGACCTTTAAGCGGGTCTCAGCACCCAGGTGCAGTCTTGAGATGTGGGCACAACTGGCTGGATCACCCACAGCACAGATGTCTACACAGCACCTACTGTGTACGGGTAGCTTTCCTGAGGTTTCTCTGTCATTCAGGGAGCAGCGCAGAGGGACCTCTCAGGCTTCCCAGCCTCTTTTGCCATCACACAGTCTCATACTCCCCTAGACCTCCTGGGAGGCCAGGACAGTGAGTGTTCAAAGGTCACACTCTGCTGTCTCTTCTAGGTACCCCTCCTTCCTCCCGGACTCTGAGGAGGACGAGCAGAACAAGAGGTGAGAGGCCATTGGGCTAAGAGGGATGGAAGAATCCTGTCCCCAAAGTGGGTTGCAGAGGAACTGGGGTGTGGGCGAGCTGAGAAAAACCAGGGTCCCTCAGTGTTCATTGATTCCCACTAGAGGGCTTGGATCTGAGGCTGGGCCTCCAGGTGCTGCAAAACAGACATCTGTGCTTAGGGTTCTGTGCATGAAGGAGGCCCTCAGGGTTGGTCTGGGGACAGAGTAGGTCTTTGTGAGGATGCATCTGTGTGCACAGCAGGTCCCTGTGAGGATACACCTTCATGCAGTCCATTCTCAACCCAGAGAAACCTCGGCATGCAGGATGGAGGCTGCCTAGGAGTTGTGGGACACAGAAGACTCACATGTGGTCCCTACACCTCTTCCCTCTATGCCCAGCTTCTGGCTGGCAGGGTGGGCTATGGCGAACAGTGCTCCCATCAGGCTCCATGACAGGGGCCTAGGACAGGGGAGAGGCCAGGCTCTTGACACTCCTGCCCACCTGCCCTAGGGCTCTGAGTTCCATCCTGGAGACCTGGCTTCTCCAGTACCCAGAAGACTTTTGCCAGTGCCCAGACATGGCCAGCCTCAAGCAGCTCATGGACTATGCCCTACTGAACCTTCCAGATTCAGACATCATCCTGCAAGTGGGCAGACTTAGGCCTAACTTAGAGTTTGCTAAGAGGGATCCCTTCCAGAGGTGAGTAGGAGGCTGGGGTTAGTGACTGTGGGTGGTGAGAGTGCAGCAAAGTCATGCTGGTTCCATCAGGAGGAGTTTCCAGAGGCTGCTACTGGCCAGGGGCAAAGGAAGAGGATGGGACCACCGATGGGGCTGGACAAGGGTTGGGACGGGGTCTTGCTTTGGGTCAGTGCCTGGGGCTTCTCTGGCAGGAAGTGGGCCGCTGTACCTTGGGAAAGGCACAAACAAGGGTGGTCTCCCAGGAATTTTCTGTCCTGTCGCTCTCCTGCCACTTCTAGGGCCACAACTGTTTCCACAGAGGCACCCATTGGAAGGGACCGGGAGTGGAGCTATGGGGGATGGTGTGAGCAGAGCCGGACAGGCAGAAACTGGCCAGCCTGACCTGACTCTCCCTCTCTCTCCCCTCTAGTGGCTGATCCCAACCAGGGATCAGGACAATTGCAGGACAATTTAGACCACCTCACCTTGCAGGACTTCAATGGCAAGTCTCCCTCCCTCCCCTGGAAATGTTGCCTTTTGTTTTTTTTTTCCTGGTTTCATTTATCTGTAGTTATTTTCTGTTAAACATTAATAAAATTTTATTGTAACATAAAATAGAACTGTCCCTCTATTTTAAGTGAACATCTAGTGGAGCTAAGTCCTCACACTGTGCTGTGCTCCCAGAGGCTCTCTCCAGCAGCAGCCCAGAACCCCTGGCAGAGCCCCTGGTCCCGTGGGGAGGACTCTACATACCTGCTGGAGGAAGGGACTGAGGAAGTGCCCAGGTGATGGGGACTCTTGAGTGCTGACCGGCAGGGCCCTGTCCACCTGGCACAAGACTGGCTTTGCACTGGGAAGGCAGCACCCTGCATCCCTGCAGAGCCCCTCTCTCTTGAGGGCCGTTTTCCTGGCCTGTGACATAGTCAGCAGTGCCCTTCCTTGCCTGGATGATAACACAGCAAAGGTCCTGGCATGTAGAGCTCCTTAAGCCCTGAGGCCCAGCTGGGCCCACTCCCAGTGTGCAGTGCACACAGGCAAACTGGAGGAGGAAAGAAAGCACATGTTCAGGAGGGATTTGGTTCTACAGAAGAGGTGCAGAGCCTCAGCTGTGCTCTTAGATGACCACAGAGCCCTTCCACATGTGGAAGCTGGCTTGTAGCTGGAAGAGGGCGTCTGTGGAACTTCATTGAGAAGTGTGCAGTGAGGGTCCAGGAGGAAACCCACCGAAGTGTTTTACTGGACACCCTGCCATGACCATGGCAGGGCTCACCACTAAAACTTTGCCCAGTTACCTGTGGACCTGGGAAAGATCCCACCTCACTGAGACAGGGGGACCTAGGGAGGAGCAGCAGCAGGACCCAGGACAGGTGTGACCACACCATTCCCTGGGTGCATTGAGCCACTTCTCTCCCTGTGCAGCAGCACCCTGTGTTTCCCCAGCCCGGCCAGGGGACCTCTGAGTCACAGGCACAGAAGCAGTGCAGGAAATGAGACACTGTTTCCAAGGACAATCTAGAAGAACACTGGGCTTCACCAGCTCCTAGTACACCTAAAACTCCCGACCTCCAGCAGGGCAGTGCCTACGTGGCACCTCTTACTGGCGTATTACAGTAGCAAATGCCTGTGGACTCCTGTTGCTGTGGTCGCTTTTGCTAAGAGCTCTGTCCTTTCCCTGTGCCTCCTGGACCATGATGGGTGACTGAAATAGAAGGAATTCCTCCTGTTTCTTCTGATTGTGTTTTCCTTTCTCTCCACCCTCAGGTCAGTGTACCCTCATCTGCATCACTTACAGGTTTAGTCCATCTTGGAAAGTCTGGAGACCTGACCCCACTCTTTCCTGCTCTCTGTGCTGTGGTTGCATCCTCTGCCTACTCGCCTCCATTTGAATCCAGCTCAGGGCCAGCTGCCACTACCTCTGAGGGAGTCTGACTGTTTGCAAGATGCATTTGCAGGCAGGAAGCCAGGAGCTGTGTGGGAGAAGGGATCCAGCACCTCTAGGCACAGCCTCTTCTGCAAGCATGGCCTCATCCTCAGCTCAGTGTGGGGCCTGAGATGTTCCTTCTGGTCCTTGTCACTGTCCCATGAGAGGCTTTCCCAGTGGCTTTTTCTCAGCTACATGTCTTGCTTTGTACTGTTTTGCTGTTGTTTTTCTGGGGTGTTGGTTGTTTGTTGGTTTAGAATTCATTTTGTTTAACTCTGTTCAAAAATAGAATAAATGTCAAAATTTAATGTGCACTTCTTTTTCATGAATTAGTCTCCAATTATACCAGGTAATTCTTCATCTCTTTCTCCTTTTTCCTTAAGTAGGTGTATTTCTTCCTTCAGTTTCAGTCTTCACTGCAATGCTTTGCAATCATTTCCTTAGTTTCTTGCTTTACTTTGTTGGCTGAGCTCTATTGGAGCTATCGTTGACTTTCATGTTACTCCCTAAGCTGGGAAAGCAGAGCATTTGAATCCAGCAGCAAAGCGTGCTGCTCACATGAGCAATGCAGTGGGGTGGGGCTGCATGGGGTCAGAGGTCTGAGTCTGAGGACCAGTTGGGCTCCAATGTGACAGCATCTGAGCAAATCCTTTCACCTCTGGGTTCTTTTCTTCATTAGTAGAGGATTTAACATCTTTGAATGGTTTGGAAAACCAAATGAGAAAACGGATATGGAAATGCTCTTTCATAAGATAAATGTGAGGGTTTCTTAAAATTACCCATGATATTAGTCTTCCTACACTTCTCCTAGGCAAATTCATGTTTCCTGAGGCAGCTTCCTGTTTTGTGACTTATTCCTTCAAGAAGGAAACAGTTTAGTAAAGAGTGAGCTCATAATCTGGGGTCAAATGATTCCTTTGAGTTATTTTCAAGTTCCTTGGTTGGAAACGGTGGACATGGGCAAGTGTGGCCAATAAGAGGGAAGAGTGCTCAGTGGTGCCTGCAGTCCCTGTGGCCCAGTGGGGTGAGGCTGCATGGGGTCAGAGGTCTGAGCGTGGGTGATGGGGAAGCATAGGGCTCATCAGCCTGCTCCCCAGGGAGACCTCATCAGAGCGGCTCTGCAATGAACCAAGAGGAATGGAGGGAACGCACTAGCATAGGCGGCTCTGGGGTTCTCTTCATCAGATACATGTGACTCAAAAACCTATGCGCAGCCCACACGGAGTGATGGTCCAAAGCTTTCATATTCTATTAGGAGAAAATGAACAAAAGGGTTATAGGAATCCCCCCCGCCCCACTGCCTGCGCCTTTAACTGAGCAAGCCCACTGAGCTCAAGGAATGGAGAACCATTTCCATCTGGGTCTGCCAGAGGGCCCGGGCTGTAGTGACAGCCTAGACATTTGACACTCAGATATTTCTTCTCCACCTTCCAGTGACTCCTGAGCAGGTCTAGGTCTGCCCTGCCAGCCACAGTGCAAAACACAAAAGGACACTGAACAATTTATTCATTCAACAAACATTTATTGGTATATATTATTTTGGGAAACATAGTCAAGTTGGACATAGTAGTTGGTGCCTGTTCCTTGGAGTATACCATCTAGGGGGAGAAAACACAACTGCTGGTATGACCAGTACCTTGTAGAAGCTGTTCCATGGGGCTATGCAAACAAGAGTGGGACCCTAACCCAGTTTGGGACACTGGACAGCTTCCTGGCTGGGCACCTTCCTGTCCAATACTTAGATGGGTTTCAGTGTATTCCATGGTGGCAGAGGTTTGGGTGGCAAAAGGAGTGGCAAAGCACCCCATGCTGTGGCTCTGAAGCTGTCCTTGTTGACCCTGCAGGGTTGACCTTCAAGGCTTTGAGTCCTCTTCCTTTCCACAGTTATGGCTCTCAACTGGACTGTTAGATTCCTCATGGAGACTTGACACAGGTTTGGGTTTGAAGGTAGGAAGAAGCAACGTTTAAATAGTGCCCATCAGAGTGCCTTGTCCAAGAGCTGCCTGCTCTAAATGCCACCTGCCATCACCCTGCAGTGCCACCCTTGACCCTCATTCTTTTTGGTCTAACAGCTCTGACAGAGCCACCGATGGAAATGTAAGTCTGTCCTTGGTAGATTCATGCTATAGATTACCTGGGGCTGAAAATTAGAGAAAGAGAGGTTAGGGGAGGTGGAGGAGAAAGGTGCACTTGGAGTTTCACAAATTTTTTCCCTGTTATCTTTCTTGTATCCTCCATTTTTCTAACCTCAAGTCACATGTACAGTAAAGATTCCTGAATAAACTCAGGAAGAGGGTTGAAGCTCTTTACGAGGTAAGAACGTAAGGCAGTGTAGTGGTATAGGATCCCGAGTTGGGAGGCCCAGAATGAGCGCTGCTCTGTGGCCTTGCGCAGACCCAGAATTCTCTCTGGGCCTTGTATTCTCCACTTGTGGAACATGTCAGATTAACGCTCCATGGATCTCTGCCATGCTCAGCCTCCATGGTCTCCAGTTCAGGGCAGGGTAGGAAGAGAGCCTGTCTCTGCACCGGACTGGGCTTGCGCTGTGTTTAGCTGGTTTTGGCTGAAGCTGAGTCTGTGGAGTCATGCAAAATAGCCCCAGAGAAAGATGTTGATGGCCAGCAGGAGGATGGCATTGATGTTGCAGATGCTTCTCCAGAGTGGTTCTTCCTTGATGCTGGTCAGCTTCTGTTCCAGAGATGCCTTTTCTGCTGGGCTCAGGACCTGTGCTGGGGTTCCAGAGAGCCCACAGAGCCAACCCCACAGCAGCTTTCCCCAGGACCTGCGGGAGACTGGGGATACAGAGCCAGAAACAAGAGGAGCAGGAGGGGAGAGGTGAGGAGAGAGTGAGGAAAGGGAAGAGGTGAGAGAGCGGGAAGGAAATGGTGAAAAAACCAAGGGGGGAGTGTGAAGGGCCTTTTGCACAAACCACAGGTCCAGCTGAGCTCTGGCCTTGGCCGCAGCATAGTAATGGTTACCACACAGGAGCACGTCATTGTGGCATGGAGCGGGACAGGGTGTTGGGGAGAGAGGGTAGTGTAATTCACCACAATTCAGAGATTAAGTCCAGAATGACAATGGAGGGGAGGAGCATTGTCTCTTTCAGGAGGCAGGGGACCTTCAAGCCAGACAGACCAGACCTTTGCCCTGCTGTGGGGCTGGGCACTGTGCCAGAGGTCAGAAACTTGGCTCCAGGGCCAGCTCTGACCTCAGCAGACTGTGTGCCCATCTGTAAGTCTCACCAGTCCTCTGAGCAACATGTTCTTTCTCCCTCAAATGCTTCAGTGACATATGCCTGTTCTCAGGGCTGTTCCGAGCACCAAAGGAGAGTGGAGATTTGATAGCATTTTACCAGCTTTCAGTGCAGGAGCAGAGAGGGAGGCACTGGTGAATGTAGTGTCACAGAGAGGAAAGCTCCCCAGTGTGCAGAGCGCCACAGCAAGGCTACAGGCAGCACTGCTCCTAACACTAAGTTTAAAAGAAGCAGTAAAGGAAGCAAGTCTTTTTAAGGACTTTAAAGTTAGACAGTGTATTAAGCATAAAATTAATGGAAAGTGCCTTCCATGGAGATGGAAAGCAATGGCCAAGAGTGAGGATTTGATCTGAATAGCACTGAAATATGGAACTTGGTGAGTTCAGTGCAGCCTCACAATTTCACACACGCAGGAAGCCTGGGTACCCTCAGGCTGAACTTCCTCCTCTGCGAGGACTGTCCAGCACCAAGGTCCAGAATGGCTCACAAAAGAGGGGAGAGCTGTTTCAGGTGACTTGGCTGCAGAGCTCCCCTGAGATCTCTATCAAGTGATGTCTGCGCTGAGAACTATCATTTTAAAGCCAATCCAAACCTCCTCCCTAGATTCTCACAGTGGTCCTCTGAGGTGCAATGAGCCCACATCACCAAGTAGGTATAAATCAGTGTGCAACAACTCAATAAATGTGCACCTATCTAGGACCGAGGATATATATATATATATATATATATATATATATATATATATATATCTTTCAGATCTATTTATTGTCCTTTAAATTTTTTAAGACTCGAAATTAGACTGCATGACCTATATCAACCTGCAGGCCTCTAGAGGAGTGGATATGGGTCTTCCAGGTTCTGGATGCTCACTTCGTTCCAGGGCGGGAAGGACTTCTCCCACAGCAGGTAGGCTCGCCCTCTGCACTGGGGATTGTGATAGAAGGACATGGAGCATGGAATTCTTTCTTGAGGCTTTATGGTTGACTCAGTGCTAAAGGGTCGGCCTCCCCCCGGAGCATATTCATGCTTGGGTTGCAAGAAAAGAAACTTTCCAGAACTGTTCCAGCCTCAAAAGTCAACCCTACCCAGGAGGGTAGCTGATGATGACTGTGTCACATTCTGCTGCTCACAACTGGGTCACCCACAGAGACCCCTCCCAAGAACAACCCTTTAAAACCCTTTCCCCAAGCCAAACAGTGGCTGTTGTGGTCCACAAGGCAGCCCACTCCCACCCAATAAAGCTTCTTTCTTGTGGCAGGATGTCTGGTCAGGCTTGGCGTGGGTTCTGGTCCTCCAGGTGCCTCCTTTTCCTTCCCTGGGTGCATCTACCCACAGGGAGCATTCATCCTTCCCTGCTCCTCTAGGAATGGCTCTGGCCTGCAGTGCGGGTAGCAGAGAAGAGGGCTGGTCCTCTGAGTCTTTGTGAGTCAGTCTAGCTCTGGCTTCCAGGGGGGCAGTACAGTTGTTACCTCTTCTTTGTCTCCAGGAGACATGTTGAAGTCATTCTTCCTTCTCCTGTTAGCTGCTTTTCCTGTACTAAGTTCAGGCTCACAGGCTTCTTTTCCCATTCCACAAGCTTTGACGTGGCCAGAGCTGGGTCTTTGCAGTGATGGCAGGAAGTAGTTTTGAGCCCCCTCTACACACAAACACACCTGGCGCATGCGCCATGAAGCTTGTCAAAGAGACAAGGGCTACATTTTGCAGAGGAAAATAGGCCTTAACTACTTGGTGCCCTGTTAAGACTGGGAGCGGGGGTGAGCCAGTCATGGGTGTGCTTTCCGAAGTCAGTCCAAGTGTGTTTTGATCAGACAAATTTGTAAGAATTCACACTTGCTATCTACAGCTTTTTATAGTGGACTACGGACTTAACTGTTGCAGCGTGAGCAAGAAGCTTTGAGCTTTAGGTCCTGATGAGGTTTTGGAGTTTGGGACATCATTAATGCTACGCTTATCGCTGTCTAGAGTAAGGGCCTCCAAGAATAGTGGTAACCCCTTGGGCCTTGGGGACAGCACAGGTCCCAGAAACTAGCAAAAGCACAAGGACAGAGTGGCAGAGTGTTGCCAACCATGCAAGTCCAGCAAAGATGCTTCGATAATTCTGTCTGTCCACCTAACCCACTGGAATTATGGAAGTTTGGTGCTCCAAAGACTGGGAGAGAGAATAGACAGCTCACCCAGTCTGATGGGAGAAAGTAGCTGTCCAGAGAACCCCAACTCCAACCAGGCACTGGGACACTATCTAACTGAAGCAGGAAAGAAATGTAGAATTTAAATTTCCTTGAATTTCTAATTTATAAGGCCAAGATAAATTGATTTTGGACTTAAACCTGTAAACTGTATGTTACTTTTTGGATTTAAAAATTTTCCTTGGGAACACTATAATTGAAAAATCTCTATTATGCTCTTCTATCTTTAGAATGCCTTAATATTGTTATTTAATCTCCCTACAGGAAGATTACAACTGAGTAGTGTCCAAAAGACATCCAACAGTATAGTAATTTAGTTAATGTGCTACCTTAACGCATTTCAGAATCTTTGGGAGACTGTTTATACGGCCATCAGCATTTCAAGGAGACACACAGAGAAGTGGGGTTGCACTGGGCAACTTCAGGAGGGCACACTTGGCTGTGCTCTTCCCATGAGGGCAGCTATGCTCCTTGAGATGACAGGCAGGAATGTTAAGCCCAATGAGAAAGAAACAAGTCAGTAGGGGTGGGGACAAGGGTGTTTCTGTATCATGTTGACCTTTTCTTCTGTGTGAAGGGAACTCCACAGGCACACGGATTGTCTCAGCCCCACCCATCCTCACGGGAGGCTGGCTATGCTCTTGTCCGATCTGTGGGTGACTAGATGGGCACCTCTGTCTAACATTAGTTGATATGCAATGAACCTTCCCACTGACATGTTATTGGTAGTGAGGGCAATATTTTGGCTCCTGTCTGCCATACTCAGCTGTCTTAATTTGCAAACATTTCAATAGTCATGTGGAAAAATATTTGGGGGGCTGTCTCAGAGACCTCCATCTCCAATGACCCCTGAGAGGGACTGTGGGACACCCAGGACATGGTGACCACCCCTACTGCTCCTCTGTGGCACACTCTCCCCAGAAACCCCTCAGCCTACCTCCGGGCTGCTCTGGGCCCTGGCTGCAGTTCCCTGGGGCGACTCTTCCTGAGAGGCTTTCCTGGACCAGTCTCTCAGACCTCCCTGGCACACTCTCCCTCTCGCTCTGGCTTTCACAGGCCTCCTTCTCCAGCTCAGAGGTGGGGCAGTTTCGTGTCCACCAGGTCAAGCAAGTGAGCTAGAGAGAGAGAGAAAATACCATTTGGAACCAGTGCATTTGGAGAAAGTCCTGCTGTGGAGGAAGGCCCGATGCAGGGGAGGCTTCAGAGCCACAGCAAAGTGTACGAAGAATCAGGCTGGGGTCAGAGGCCAGGAGGCATATTCAGGTAAAGTGAGAAAGACTGCATGAGGAAATGGGTGGGAGGAGCAGTCTTAAGGGATACTAGGGAGGTAAAATCTGCAGCACGAGGTGATTGATTGAATGAGCTGGGGGTTGGGGGTGGGGGCTCTCTGGATGCTCTTGAGTTCAAGCCATGGATGACCAGAGGATAACAGGGTCCCTCCCAGGGACAGAAGGCTCAGCATAGAAGAAGATTCTGGTGCTTATCAAAAAGGCTGAGAGAAGAGAAAGGGAACATCTACACACATAACTACAAGGTGACGATGAGCGGGTGTATCAGCTTCAAGTGGAGACATCCAGTGAAGAGAAACAAATCTGTGTCCCTCAGGTTGCCCTTTCCTCTCTTTATGTCTGCCCTGCAGACAAAGCACACAAATTCTCCAGCTGATGTGAGTGGCACTGGAGTCAGCCGTGAGCCCTGGGCCCTGAAACATCTCTCTTCCCCAGAGGCCAGGAGTGGGCTCTTCCCCTGGCTAGGCCTTTGTAACAATCATCTCCGCCCCGTCCCAACTTCCAACTTGCAATTGTGTCCAGAGGGGCCAGGGCCAGACATGCCTCTCTGTGAGAGCCTGGGCAGCTTCTTTACTTGTGCACATCTCTCCATAAACCCTGCTTTCTTCTCACACTGTGAGTCAGTAGCATCACACAGACCTTGACTTCATGTCACTAAGAGACAGATGGATGTGGAGTTTGAATCTTGGGAGAGGGATTTGGGCTGGAGATAGAGAACTGAGAGTTGCTTTATACAGAAAGTTGTTGAATTGGCAGCCCCAGGCATTGAGAGCCAGAAGGGTTGTATGCAGATACGGGCTCCTAAGAAAAAATGATGTTTAAGGGGGCAGAAAGAAAAGCCTGCGAAGTCAGAAGAGTGAGCAGAAGAATAGGAAAAGGCAAACAGGAGGAAAATGCATCTTAGAAGTACTAGAAGCGAGGTCTTCCGGTACAACAGGCAGTGGGGAAGGCAGAGGAAGAGACATGACCACTGATTTTTTACCAACCCAAAGTTGTAAGTGACCTCAATGAGGACAATTTCATGGCCTTCTGGGGACAACACCAGAGCACGGTGGGTTGCAAAGTTGACAAGTGGTGGGAATGGAGGCCGCTCTTCACCGAGGTTACAGTTGATGGGAGAAGAAGGAGGTGGCAGTCACCAGAGGACAGGATCAAGGAGAAACCTCAGTGTGAAGCATGACAAGGCAGACGTGGAGACCTTGAGGTCTCAGCAGCAGGAGATCACGTTTGAAGGCAGTGCCTGCAGGCGTGCAAACCTCAAGGTTTGGAAATTCACTGAAGTCTTAGTCCCTGGTACCCCAGGACACAACTGCAGTCAGAGATAGAAACCGTATAAACATAATTAAGATAAATGGGGGAATATGGATGGACGCTAATCCATCATCACTGGTGTCCTTAAAAAAGAGTTTAGGTCTCAGGCAGACACAGCAAAGATCATGTGAAGACACAAAAGGGACTCCTGGACACACCGGGCCTCCTGACGCTTTGGGCTCAGGTTTTCAGCCTCCAGAGTTGAGAGATGCTTAAGCCACAGTTTATGGTCCTCACTTATGGAAGCCCTAGGAAACTAACTCAGACTCTGGGTTGGGGGAAGGAGCTTCCTAAGACTGGGTTTCAACATTCTAAGATGGGTACATCTGTCAGCTCAAGGCAGGCAAGATAGAACTCTTGATCCAGCACACTCTGTTTCTCCTCTGTGTATTTGGTTCTTGACCATTAAATAAACCTCTACTTTTCCCTTTCATGGGCCCCAGGTGAAGACCACCTCTCTCCTGAGTTTGGCCCCTCCCCTTGAGCCTGGTACCCCTGCACCTTCCCTGTGCATATTAATGTTGGGTGCTGGAGTCTGTTCCTCCCTGCCCCAGGACAATTGCTGACAGGAACCATCTGTCTTTGTAAGCCTATCACAGTGCCTGGTACACAGTGTGTACCTCTGAGTAATTTTTAAATTGAATGAGTGTCTTTTCACTTGGAAATTCACATTCCAAAGAGCCCCAGCTCCCAAGGATGTCTATGTGGCAGCAGGAGACACCATCGTTCATGAGGGTAAAGGCCAGTGGTGGATTTGCAGACCCTGAGCGCGTAGGGTGGATGGGTGCTCATCATGAGAGCACCACTTGCCTTTTCCTCAGGGATGGGTGTCGTACAGAGGCTGATGATGACAATGACGATCGCAGTGAGCCCACAGAGAAGCAGGGCAAAGTACAGATAGTGGAAGTCCTTCAGCATGGCTGGCCTCCGGTCCACCTCACCACAAGCTGGGGCTGGGTAAGAGAACTCGAGGATCATGCGCAGAAGGCCCACTCCCAGGCCAAACATGAGGCCCCAAAAGGCTCCCTACGGAGAGAGGGTGACATGGGTAGGGGTGAGATTGGAGGGAGGGGACACCAGGAAGCTAAAACCTGCTCTCCCCAAAGCTCCCTCCACTGACTGATTACAGTGTTGGCCAAGTCCTTCTTGGTGAGTTTCCTGGCAATATTGAGGCTTTGTCTTAACTGAAAACACCAACAAAGCAGGGCGTTAAAAAGGCTATCAGCTTCAGAGGTGGCCTAGAATGTGAATCTGGCTCCTTTCTAAATGGCTCTGAGCCAATGGCTAGGCCTTACTAGGTCGGAAATTTCTTGCGTGCAAGGAAAAAGAAGTTCATTAGTACTACGTGATAGTTGTATCATATTCAAATAGAATGGACTGTTTTTGTGATAAGAATACCTGGATCCCCTTCAAAGCTGTTTGTTATGTTAAGTCAGAATTTGGATTTATCATAACAAAGAAAATCTCTGGCACTTCACATTTATTATAGTTGCATTGTCTCTACACTACCCTTCCCTAATAGGTATAGATGACCTGTATTTAGAAAATGAGCTATTAATTCTGACTTCAACAGTCTAAAATGAGCAGAACCATGCAGGAGAAACTGGGCCCTGCAAACAGGAGACACCTCACATACTCAGATTAGATTCTGCAAACATGACACATCACCTACCCAGGCTGTCCAGGGGGAATCTCTAAGATCCCCTCCGCAATGACCTTGACATCGGTCTTGCGAATTTTCACATCAGTCCAGAGACTACTTTGATGTCCCAAGGTACAGCCAGCAGATTGGGGCTGTCTTCCCTAGTCTATCCTGAGAAACAAGAAAGCCTCTGGTCTTCTAGCTTCCTCCAAGGCTTCTGTCAGTTTCAGGGCAGTTGTGTGAATGGTGCATGTGGGGCCAACCCCTGTGAGAGTTCACACTTCATCATCAGCTCATTCTGGTTTTTTTTTTTTTTTTGGTGTTGTTGTTGTTGTGTTTGGTGTGGGTGTCGAACAACATTCTCATTCTATTATTTGATTTATATATAGACCACTACAGAGTCAGAGGCCTCTGGTCTGTCCTGCACTTTCACATGAATGCTCCTCTTGTGTGGAACAATCTCCTCCTCCCATTAGCCCTGCAGGTCTCAGCTCAGATGCCATTTCCTCCAGGAAGCCTTCCCTGACCTCACTCCAGGAAACTCATAAGTTAGAATTTGTGCATTTCAATCTCTCAGTAGCCCTTTTGCTTTATCGTTATTGGTTACTTAATCATCTCTCGATTCTGAGGGCCCAGCCATGACAGACCTATGTGAATGTTGTAAACCACTGTACCCCCCGAGTGGCCATAATCCCATTGCTCAGTGTTTTCTGTGTGAGTGAATGAATCCAGGCCTGACTCTAGGGTCAGGAGGATGGAATCCTAGAGCGGGCTGTGGATTTGCTCCCACAGATGGAGACCAGGTGAGGGACAGAGCAGGACTCCAGAACCTTAGTTGGGGGCAAGAGATGGAAAGGCTTCACTCACAGGCTCTGTGACTCTCCTGCAGAAGATGGCCAGCAGGAAGAGGGCAGTGACGGGCGGTGCCAGGTAGCTAGTGACAGACTGGATGTAGTCGAAGAGCTGCCCGCTGCTGGAGCTCTGGATGATGGGGATCCAGAGGATGCTGACGACCACCAGGAACACCACAAACACCCTGCAGGAGAGCACAGGTGCTGGGGGGTGTGGCGTGGCACACGGCACAGGGTCTCCTGAAGGTGATGCGTGGGAACCAGAAGGGACAAGAGAGGCCTCTGGGTCACAAGCAAGAAAGTCATAATCCCAAATACTATGGTGCAGGCGCAGAAGTTCCGACTGTCAACACTCCAGAAATCAGAATTTCTGAATGTGAGACAGTCAGAATTCTACAGACTTAGACTTGTTATGTGCATACCGGACTCTTGGCGATCATGCCGTCCACCCTAACCCACAGCTTCACTGCACCCGACCTAGGGAAAGGCCTTCAGCCTTGCTTGGGGATATATTTCCTCCTCTGACCTCCAGGCTGTTGAAGGACACAGCCCCTTTATGGTCCCAGTCCTGGGACTTCTCCCTTCCCCAGGCTCCTTCAGCTCAGACCTTTCCTACCTTCTCGCTCGATCCACTTAAACTGATCCTTACTCGGGCTTAAATCACCAAAGGGCTCTGGAGGTGTGAATTTGGAGATGCACAATTTGTTTTGAAACATTTTTTTTTTCTTGGACGTGCTGGATGCAATAATACATGTTGCCAGGAGATGGCGACCGAATCCCATTGATTGCTGATACACGTGCCTAAATCTATGCACACTTGTCCTCACTTCTTTTCCCCTATTTTTCCTCTCTCAGGCTCCAAGAAAGCAGCAATTACCCACGTGTCTCAACTTCCTCTTGTCCTACTCTAAGATCTCAGGGGCTCGCTGCTCGTGGCTAGGGCTGGGCTGCAGAGATTAACAGGCAGCAGAAGGCACCAGATGATAGGAATGGCAAATGCAGAGGCAGGGAGACTCCAAGAGCAAACTGACTGAGCTCAGTTCCTACCCGTCAAAACAAGAGTGCATAGCCTTAGTTAGAGGCCTGAGTAGGGAGCCTTAAACTATGAGGCAGAGATCCTACAAAGACCTTCGTAGCTCTACACAGACTCTAAATTCCCAGCCTATGGAGAACAAGACAAATTAACTGCTCAGTTATGATTTTAAAAGAGTAACTAATACCTACAAGGTACAGTTCAAGTTTTATCATGCAACATTCAAGGCTCTGCATCATTTGGAGACAACTTCGCTGTGACCATCTCTCTTGAGGCAGGTGCCGTGCTAATGCTGTGTAACATGCCCATTTCTGCCCTGCTCATCAGAATATGAACCTCCCCCGGTTCTCCTGGTTCCTAGCACAAGGATGTGGCCCGAGGTGTGTATCTGGAGTGAGCCTGAGTGATTGGATTAAACACCGCCATTATCCTGGGGTGGCAGGAAGAGTTGACCCAAAAGGCCCCAGGGTGAGTTTCTTTCCTCTGACTCACATTCTCCACCTCTCACTTCTCAAGTGCTCTGTCATCTCTCAATCACCCCACTGATGCAGTGCAAGGCAGAGTGCAAAGCCGGGCAAGAGTGCCTTCTCCCTGTTATTCTGCAGGGGAGGAGTGTTCTGGAGGCAGAGCGCGGCTGAGGTCATGCAGTGCCCTGGGTGCTGCTTCAGGCCCAACCCCAGCCCCTCTCCTGGGCAACCCAGGGCGGGCAGAGGGGAAAGCAGAGGGGAGCCCCCGCCCCCGGGAGATGCAAGGCCTGGCGCACACACCTGCCCACCACCATCAGCTCCTGCTCTGTGGCCCTCCTGCGGAAACGCTGCCACACGTCGATGGCGAACAGGGTGCTGCTGCTGTTGAAGATGGAGGTGAGGGAGCTCATGAGGGCCGCCATGATCACCGCGATCATCAGGCCCCGCAGACCTGGGAAGAGATGAGGTGTGTTATGGCTGATACGTTGTGCCAACTTGAGAAGCTTAGAAGGGTCTTTATTTTGTAAACATCCTCATCGTGTGCAAGAGGAGGACAAGGAAATTCTGTGACTCACAGTGCTACACCTGCCCTGGGTGGGGTGCCCTGCGTAGAATATGAGGAAGGAACACAGTCTTTGTCTTCCTCCTGTCTTCTCTTGCTGCTTTGCTGTCTAGTGCCACCCTGAAGTGCTGCCCCTGTGCCTTGCCACCCTGCCTTGGAGCCAGCTGGTTACAGACTCTTAAAATCCACCAACTGTGAGCTAAATAAACTTTTCCTTCCCCAATTTTGGGTGTCAGGTATTTTGTCCCCGCAATGAGAGCAAAGTAAGCAACACAAGATATGAGAGACAGCAGGTCTTAAAGACCAGCTCCGCCTGGGCGGGGCTGCTGCTGCAGAGCCAGGACTTTGGGCTGGGCTGGTGGGGAAACGGTTCCTTTCTAGTACAGACAAGGAATCAGGAGCCTGTAAAGCTCCTGGCCAGTTTCTGGCCGTGTTTTGCCTCTCCCTTGCCTTGTGGCCTTGGACAGCTCACAGCCCTGCCAAGGCCTCAGTGTCCTCATCTGCACCATGAGTGTAGGATACTGAGTGATCTGTGAGGGTTCCTGCAGTTTTGAAAACGAAGTCTGTCTTCACAGCAAGTGACCATCAGCGGAGTCTTGGAGCTGAGGAGGGAGGCTGTGGCTAGTGCCTTTTAAAAATTTTTCTTCTTTTGTATTCTCTTTCTCCGCCCCACCCCCACCCCAATCTATCTCTCTCATACTGGGAATGAAACTCAGGACCTTGTGCTTGCTAGACAAGCGTGGTGCCACTGAGTTATATCCCTGGTCCTTGTGTCTCTTTCTCATTTTTCAGGGTTTTGTTCCACCGCTTTGCAATGTCCGGCTAAAGTCCTACAAGGAAGCAGAAGCTTGGGGCTGTTTCCTGGCTGTACAAATAACCCGCTACATGGATGATCTTTGGATGCATTTCATGCATGTTCTGGGCCTGCTTTTCACCTGGACAGATGCCTTCCTGCCCCGGTCCCGCTTCAGCCTCTTTACCACAAAGTCCATGTATCTAACCACATCCTGAGTGTCACGCTGGAAGCTTCACAGAGATCTTGGACTCAGGTTCTAGACACAAGTGCTCACCTTCCTATGGCCTTCTGCCTCCCTCTCGGTTACTAAAGCCTCCCGGCTCCCAGCAGAACCCTGGACCCTAGGCCCCTTCCTTGGCTCTCCTCTCTCCCCATCCTTCTTCGGTCTCACTTCAGAGACTGGTCTGTCTAGCTTGGCCTCCCACCATCTCCACTGTGTCCTTGATTTACTTCTCATTTTACCATAAGGAGGGAATGGGCCCACTCATCTGTTGCCTTTCATCTCCTCAATCTTAATAGTGTTGTAAACCTGCCTTCTAAGGTGGAGGCCCGGGAGCCTGCTTTGACTCGTCTGCCCCCTGAAATACAGTAAACCCAATCCTGCTAACAGCTTCACACACATCTTTAAATACCCTGTCTCCATCTCTAAGGTCAATCCCTTGGTGAAACCACCAGTGCCACGCCCCTGGCCACCTGCAGACATCTCCCTGATGTACCCCTGTCCTGCCAGAGCCTGTACCCTTGCTAAGTCCTCCATCAGAGTGGTTCTTCTGAAGCACAAATCCACCGTCTTGCTCTGGCCTCCACCCTCAGTGCCCTCTACTGTCCCCAGAGAGAAGAATCCATTGCAGAACAAGGCTGGGCCGTGGCACCCTCTCAGGAAGGTCATCTTCATTGCTCCTTGCCACTGCGTTTACACTGGGTTCCTCTCATTCGGCTGTCACTCCTGGGTGTTGGCACTCACAATGCCTCCTGCTTAGAACATGTTCTATGCCCTCTGGCTCTGTGTGAAATGCTCTTTGTGCCTCTGCTCTGCTTTTTTCCTGTGCTGTGCCCTTACTTCCAAGTTACCTTTCACTGTAAGGTACCTTACTGAGCACAGGTACCTTAGACACTGTGTGAAGTCTGAGGGCTTGGACCTGCCTCTTCCCTCCACATCTTCAACACCAGGCAAAAACAGACACCTTACAAAGGCTTGGGAAAGTGTGATTGTGTGTGTGTGTGTGTAACATGCAGGGTACAGAAACTCTTCCCTCTTCCCTTCCATCCGTAGCACAATTCCTCATCAGAGGGGTCCAGGTGGGAGTAGACAGTGGAGTGTGCAAGATGGGACTCACCTATGGGCATGAGAGCCATGACCAGCTTGGGATAGGCGATGTTGGAACATCCCACGCGGGCCCCACACACTCTTTGGCAGACATCAGGATCCACACAGCCCACCTCATCTGCAGAAGACAGCGCAGTAGTTGGAGTTATGATCCTGTCCCTCTCAGGATGGCCCAATATTTGCTTTCTGGCACTACAGGAAAATTTTCACCGGAAATTCTGACCTTGTCTAAAAGGTCAATGGGCAAGTAGTTTGGCTCTTTGGTGAATTTCTTGTCTGTGATGCATACTGCTCTGCAACATGGGATAAATTCCTTTGAGTTTTATGACATACATTGATAAAAGTAAATATTCTTGGAAGGGGTCAAGAATGCCTTGCTTTTTTTTAAGAGGAAGGAAGATTTTGAAATAACATTGAATTTACTCTGTTGAAATACTTATTTAATGGCTTTTAAGTTCTAAATGCTTGGAATGAGATCTTCATAGAAAAAGCTTGCTTCCCTGGTCCACCCTGCCCAGGAACACCTTCTCTGGAAACCCCTCCCAAGTCCTGACTCCCCAGGCCCAGAGAGAAGGCTCACTCTCACCTGGGTACAGGGCCCTGCTGATCATGCCAGGCATGACGATGAAGAACATGGGGAGGATTTTCAGGTAGCCCCCCAGCACTGAGCCTCCTTTGGCATGGGACAGATTCTTGGCAGACAGAGACCTCTGCACAATGACCTGGAATGGCAGAAGCAATGGAGTGATGTTGATCCAGGTCCAGGGAAGGAGCTCAGCTCAGCCACTGGTGAGCCCTGACCTTGGTCTCTGACTGTCCCCCTACTCCAGTCTCAAAATTAAGCTCACTTTTTATGCATCCAAATGCCTACTTTGTCTGCAGGAAGCCACCCCACTTCCTGGTGGGCCAGGCCACGTCTGTTGGTCACCGTACCTGATCTGTGCACCAACACCAGGTAGCCAGTACTGTGAGCCCAAAAATGAGCCCTGGCCAGGGAATGTCCCCGCTCACGGGGTCACGAAGCATGTGGAAGGCATCTGGCCGTGGGAGGTGACAAGTGGTGTTGGGGACTGTGACATTAGGAAGGGCCTGGCTGTAGAGCTGCTGCAGGCCTGGGTACCAGCCTACCTTCTGAAAGCCTGTGGGAAGAGATGCAGTGAGAGAACATCCCTGGGACCCACCCAGCCTGTGTGCCCAGCCCCACGTGGGGCTCTAGGTTGGAGCCCACCTGAAGATTGGGGATAGGAAGGGAGATGGGGTTCAGGCTCAAGACTTTTGGTTTGAAGTAGGGAGAATTCTGCGTTTTGGAAGCCCTGACTTGGAGACAGGGCGTGACTCTATGATCAGGAAAGTTCCAGGTAAGCCATTGAGGTGCCAAAAATAAATCAGAGGAAGAATTTAAAGCTGATGGTGAGTGACTTTAGGTCTCTTCCTTACCTAGAAACATGAGGACCAGGGCTCCCCCTACCATGATCACTGTCTGCAGAGCATCTGTGTAGATCACGGCCGTGAGGCCCCCTGGTGATCCAAAGAGAGGGCACATCAATCAGCACCAACATCGGTCCTGCTCTGGGTGCCCACCTGTGTCTGGTTACACTGAGCAGGCCAGGGAAGACACAGTGGCTTCTTAGCAGTGGCTCTGGTCACCTGCATTTCTCTATATCTAGCACTTCCAAGCACCCCACTCAGAAGGACAGAGCCTGGCCACACTTCAGTGTGTTCATGTGGCTCTTCCTGTCTCTGGCAGTATCTTGCCACAGCCATCATGCCATGGCTTTTGGTTTCTGTCATCAGTGACCCAAATCCTGTCCTTTGCTTATGCTGTTAGCTCAACCAGGGATGCTTGATTCTTTCTCCTCCCAACTGGTGTCTATCCAAATGCCCCCAGCTTTCAAGGCTAACATAGTCCTAAGTAAGTCTGTTTGTCCCATGCTGGTGACCCAAGGTGCCCGTCCTGTGTGACACCTTTTGGAGGAAACAGTGTGGGCCTGTCTGCATTTGCTGGGGCAGCTCACCATAACTCTGGCCCAGACAACAGCTTCCTAATCTCTCCGTGGGGCAGGTGGTCTTTTCTAGTGCCTCTTCACATCTCTCCTGGTCTCAGTCTGGTATGGATTCCCCATTTCTGCCCCTTTCCTCTCCCTTTTCCTGTACCACTGTGTCCCACAGTTTGTTCCCTGGTTTTTTGATTTCCTGTATCATTGCCTTGGCCCCAGTTGACTGTCTTTCTCTTCTCTATCTCTCTCTCAGGACAGATCTTCTCTGTCCCACTCAGGTTGTCCATCTTTCAATCTTTCTCTCTGTCTACCAGTCAGAAGCTTCCCTCTCTAGCTTTTTCTGATGTTCAGGTTCGGCCCTACCTGTGATGGTGTAGATAGCTGTCACCACGAGCAGGATCCCTGTGGAGAGGTAGAGGTTCCAGCCCAAAGCCATCTGGATGAAGAGGGCTCCAGAGAAGATGTCAGTCTGCAAGCAGACCGGACCCATTAAGCTCTTTTAACTAACACTGAGTGAATAGTTGCTGATGAAGAACCAACTAATATAAAGATAAATGAGCATGAACTCTAGATTGTGATCTTTGTTTTTTTAAGAAGAGCTGTCATGCACTTAAAACATTTATCGTTCTTCTCTGATTGTCCCAGTGCCAAAGGGAGCACACAATGAAAGTGAGTGGATGTAGCCTCCTCTTCTTTTATCCTTCCTTCTCTCTCCAGCCATCCATCTACCCCTCTTCCTCCCTTCCACCTTTCCTTTATCATCCTTTCCTCCCTCCCTTCCATCTTCCCATTCACCCATCCATCCAAACTGTGAATGTGAGCTGCCTGTCAGCCTCAAGCCCGTGGCAATACACAGAGACAAGCAGACCCCTTGGAGTGATACCCACCGATATCTTGGTGAAGATGTAGAGGATGAGAGACAGGACAGACATATACACCTGGATCCTTTCACCCCCAAATCGCTTCTTGAGGTACTGTGGCGTAGTGACCACACCAGCTGCAATGTACACAGGGACAAAGATCCAACCAAGGGCCACAAGCAGGAAGGTTGCCTGAGAAAATAAGAAGAAGGTAATGAGATTTCAGACAACGTCAGAGAGAAGCCTCCTACAGCTATTGAGTACTGTGCGAGATCCTTCAGTAGGAAAGGGAGGGACCCAGGACCCACCCACTCTTGTTTTCCTCATCTGTGTGATGAGTTACCATTCACCAGGAAGCCTCCCAAATTCCTCTAAGGATTATCTCAACACTAAGGTTGGGGAGGGGGTGAGCTCTGACCCCCATTGTCCTGGAGCAGCCATGAGAGTTTCCTTACGTTCCACTCAAAGCCACCCACAGCGAGGCCCCCAGCAGCCCCTGTGCCAGCCAGGCCGATGAACAAGCCACTGCCCACATTGCTGGACATCAGAGATGCTCCAATCTGCAAGGCACAAGTAGGATCAAAGGTCAGAGGTCAAGGTTAATCTCAATTGATCTGGGGTCAGGACCACTAGCATGGGAGACGGCATGGAGTTGACATTTATTTGACACTGCACTGAGCACTTTATATGCCCTAATGCATTTAACCTCCACAAATGGCCAGAAGGAGGAGCCTTCCAAATTTATACAGGAAAGAACTGATGTTAGGACAAATGAAGCCACAGACTCCAGTCCACCGAGTGAAGAAGTGGCAAAGTGAGCACAGGGCCAGCAGGGGGAATCAACCTCAGACCCTCCAGGCAGAAGACCCTCCAGGCAGAAGAAGAAGAAGGAGGTGGGCAGGCAGCTTTCATAGGGCAGATTCCATGGCAAGACTGGGCAGAGGAGGGACCCAGAGGCTGAGCACATGTCAGGCCGGCCTCTGAGTTGCCTATTCTTCTTCAGAGGGGAGGCCAAGTCATGTAAGGTTAAAGAAGGGAAGATAATGGTAATTATGGTGACAAGGATCACAGCAGACAGCACTTACACAGTATTGCCCAGCACTGGACATACAAGCTCAGTTAATCCTCATAACAACCCGATAAAGGCAGGTACTGTCATTGCTGTGTTAGCTGGTGAGAAGCCACAGATCATTGGAGGTGACCCTTGGAGAGAATCCTCTTTTCTTCTTACTCCCTAGCCATGGGATGAGGGGAAAGGTGGAAAGAAATATTCCTTTTTTCACAAGTTAATCATCTTAGGTATTTGTAGCCGTAGCAGAAAACTATCACAGTTTTCCACATATTACTTCTGAGCAAACCGAGGCCTTGATAAGAAACTTTTCCACGTGACCAAGTGAAGATTAAAGTCTTGGCTGTCTGGCTCCCATAACCACTGTGCAAAGCCCCTGCTAAGAAGTTACTCCATGTTGGTGCTTATTATTAGATGGAATCCAGCACTGAGAGGGAGGAGGGGGCAGAGGTGGGGCTCTGAGGCTGGGGAGGCCTTGGGGCAGGCCTGGGTGCTCAGCTTTGTACCGTGTGTCTCCTCGGTAGAATCATTTCCTCTCACACAGCCTCACCTGCAGCATCTAAGAACCTGGGTGCATTCTTTCCCAGTGTGCATTCTTCCAGGGTGTAGGGAGGGGCTGGCTGTAAGAAGTCTGAAGGCTGAGGCATTCAGACGGGAAGTGGCAGGGCATGCAAAGGTGTGGAAGCGAGGGACCTTACCTTGCTGAGTCCCTTGTGCTGCTCACACACACACGTGCACACACACATATGTGCACACGCACGCACACACATTCACACATATACACTCACATGCACTCCCTTGCTTGCATCTGCACACTCACATACACATGTTCACACATGCACATGTACTCACACAGGAAAACCCACATGTATACACATACACTCATGTATACTTGCTCTCACATATGCACTTATACACCTAACTTGCATTCACACACATTCCATATAGGTACATATGCTTACACATGTGCACACTCACATACATACATTCGCATGCACATACCTACATATACTTACACATATTCTCTTACACACACATGCAGACATTTGCATGCATTTATACTCTCACTCTCTGGTGGCCCGACGGTGATGGTAGGGATGGACTGGAGCCTTGGGCCAGAAGAGAGAGTGCATGGTCCCTGCTGCGGGAGAGAAGGTTCTCCTAGGAAGGAGGCATGCCCATCTCACCCTCCCCGGGACGCCCCGCTCCTAATCCAGGAGATGTGGAAGGTAAGAAGAAGAGGAGCACGCAGGCCTCTCTGAGCAGGGATGGCTGCTATTCTTCTGCTGACAGCCTTGCTGGGACACTCTGCAGGGGCACAGCGTCAGCACAGGCAAGAAAGACCCCTGGGCACGCTGCTGCAGTAGTGCTGAACTGAGCATGGAGTTAATTATTTCAGGCATCTGGGGTTGGAACTGCACCCAACCTGGCTCAGGTTAGATTAAGCTTCAGGTGTCGGAGGCACAGTTCACAACTGGTCACCCAAAGGTGGCAGCAGCACACTGCACTTACTGTGTGGGGCTCATGGGTCCCTGGGAGCCCTGCTGAGACAGCTCCTGCTGGAAGCCTGGCTTTCTTCAGGCCCACTTGGGCCGACACTCTGCCCTCTGCAGGCTGGAGCTTGGGCAGCAGGGCCTAGGCTTTCTTCTGAGCCGGACAGAACAGCCTGTCCTGATGAGCTTTGTACTTGGTGCCTACGTGGGTTCCAGGACTGCCCTTTGGGAGTCCCTGGCTAAGCAGAGCTGTTTCCATGGGTTTAGTTCTCTAGAGTATGTGCTGGAGGGAGTGTGTGAGAGCGGGGTCGTGACTATGAGTGTGTGAGCATGAGAGTAAGAAGCACGAGGTTGACTGTGACTGTAAGAGGACATGCGAGAATGAGTGTGAGAAAATGTGTAAGACTGCATGGGAGTGTGTGTGAGGGTGCGATTGTGCGAGTGTGTGAGTGGGAAAGTGTGTAAGTGTGCAAGTGTGTGTGTATGTGGGCCTATAGGAATGTGTATGGGTGCCTGAGTGTGTATGAGTGAATGTGAGGCTGGCAGACCTGGGTGTGCACACAGCCTGAGTGTGCACACAGCTTCATTTCCCACCAGAATTGATGAGTCCACTACTAGTTTTCCAAACAGGGCTCATCTCCTTCCATCCTATTGAGTTTCAAGGACCAGTAGAAATGTGGGGTGGTCTGATGGGCTAGAACAGGGGGAACACTTGAGGGATTAGTTTCATGTGGAGTCAGGGACTGTGCTCCTCAATCTCCTCACTTGACTATTTATTCAATGGCTCCTTCCCAAGGAGCTTACCCCGCAAAAATGCAGCCTACTGCCCAGTGCAGGGGCAACCTTGAAGCTCTCAAGAGACCCTGAGGGTTTTGTCTAGCCCAGCTTTAATCATGTTGCTCATGAGTCCGTCTGTCCACTCAGCTCTGAGCTACTCTAGGGTAGGGACACTCTAGCTCTATTTCTGTGAGTCTAGAACAAGCCTAGGACCCACACTCAGAAGGTTCTAGTGGGGCTTGTCAAACTGTGTTATTAAGGCCACTTGGAGTGTGGGGTAGATTAGGGTGACAGAGGAGTCTAGAATTGGGAACCCCAATGGGAGGCTGGTACCTTGGCTCAGGCAAGAGAAGATGACAGGGGGATGTGGGTTGGGGGATGTGTGAGGGCACTCACCGGCCACCAACTCATGGACCTGCCTGCCAGGAAATAACCACCAATGGTCCCTCGGTTTGCACGGATTGATGCCTGGAAAGGAAATGGTAAACATAAACACTTCTCAAGGTTTTCTCCAGTCTCTGCCCTCACCCCAGATTTTCTGTCCCTGGGTGCAGGCACTATGGGAACACAGAGACTAACAACCCAGGCAGGACGGAGCAGCCTGACTACTTCACCATTTTTAAATTATAGGTCCTTGGGAGTGGGAGAGTTACTTCATCTTTGCGATTCTCAGCAGTCCCTGAGGGCTGAGGTGAAGAGCAAAGGAGGTAAGGATGGCCAGAGTCTTTGTGAATGGCGAGTGCTGTGCAAGGGTACCAGCTGGCTGCTAGCATGTCCTTATCCTTTCCTCCGCTGTACTGGCTCTCAGAGGCTCCTGTGGTATGTGGGCTTCAGGTGCATAGTGGCTCCCTCTCCTGAGCTGGCCTTTCTCCTCCTCCTGGCTGGGTTCCTACACTGCAGACAGTGGCTGTTCTGACCAGTTTGATTTGGAGGATGGCTCTATGGCTCTATGGGCTCTAGGCAGGATTGGTGGAGCTGCTTAGGATCTTCACTTAGCCTGGTTTCTTATCAGGCACACTACTGAGCTCTCTCCAGGACCCTGGAAATAGCAGTAGGTGGTCAATACTTGGCTTCTTAGGTTTGTGCTCTCAAAAATGAAAGATTTGAGGAACACAAGAGATTTCTCAGTACATGGATCAGGGCTGGCCCTGATCAGCGAAAGGGGAACTCTCAGAAGTTATACTGGTAGGGAGGGCAATAGGTCCCTGCCTGGCTCTGAGATAGGAGAAATCCTTGAGTTCCAGGAAAGTAAAGGAGAAAGTAATTAGGGAGTGCTAACTCTTGTAGGGCCTGATGTTTGTTAAGCTTGTGCTTGAACTTTCCTGGCTTACCTCTGATGCCCTTGGAGGCCAGGGAAATTCATTTCGCAGAGGAGAAATTCCCTGGGGCAGGGAGTAACTGGTCCAATTCACAGCACAGTTGGTCTTTTTTGACCCAGGCTGCCTCTGGGGAGCTACTGAGCACCTGTCTGCCCAATTCTGCCTTCAGGAATGTTGGAAGGCAGGCACTATGACTTCCTCTTAGGGAGGGAGGATGGGGTGGAGGCTCAGGGAGGGTTCCTGACCTGCCCAAGGCTCAGGAATCACGGTCCAGTCTGCCCTGCAGCAGTCTGAAGGTGCTGGCAGGTCAGGAGAGCACAGGTGATGATAACAGCCCTTATTGTCTGCCACCTCCATGCCAGGCTCCAGGTGCGTGTTCACACATTTCCTGCCCTTCCTGAGGCTTCAGCCTATTCTTCATGTCCGTAAGAGAAAACTGAGACTCAGAGAGGAGACTTTGACAGTTGGACTTGGGACCTGAGCTCAGCTTCCTGGGCCCTGCCCACAGCTCCCTGGTTCCTGTGATCAGTGGAGAGCTGTGGGACCTTGGAATGTGTCTGGCATCCTTCCTTCCCTAAGAATGCAGACTCTTAGCTCCTTGATCGTGACCCAAAGAAGACTGGTCAAGGTTGTTTTTTTTTTTCTCAAGTTGCAGATCTTGAGCTGAGGAAAAAGGCAGGAATGGGTTCAGGGTGGCCAATGATGGCTGAGGCCAAAGGCAGCAGCAGACGCACACACACAGGGAGGCAGGGCTGGAGTCTCTGGGCCTGATCTGCCTCTGGTTTGCTTTGTGACCTCAGACAAGCCACAGCCTTCTTTGGCCCTCAGCCTGCTCATCTATGGAAAGAAGCAGGGGCGTAGTGGGGGAGATTTCTGAAGGGTTTTTTCCCCTCTCTCAGATCCTTTAGTTACATGGTCTGCTCTTGCTTTCCCATCTTTGCCTTTGGCTAGAGATGAGAGGTGCTTCTGCTTTCCCGGCTCTGCAGCCCTGGCCTCAGGCCCCACTCACCCAGATCCCCACAGCGATGACGAAGACAAAGTAGATGACCACAGCCACGATGTCATAGGTGTGCAGGCTACTTTCAGAGCTCAGGGCTGCGTGCAGAACCGCCTCTGTCTTCATCATGTTCACTGAAGCTTCAGGACTCCTTGCTCATCTATTGGTGTCGGTTCCTAGCAGGCTGGACTTTGAGGTTCTCCTGGCTTCATTCCTTTCCTTTAATGATTAAACAGCCCCAAGCACCTTGAGCCTTTGAGGGAGCTCAGAGCTCAGAGCTCTGCTAGCTCACGGTAATGTCCTGCCCATTTTCTCCTCACCACCACCCAACCAGTGACAGGATTCTCTCACACACACAAGCGTACTCACACACATGTTCATATACACACCATGCACGCACACACTTAACAGTTCTCCTTCCCCCCTCGAAAGTACTGGGGCAAGAGGAAAAAAGAAAGAGGAAGGCAGAAGAATGCTGGAATCCAAGAGTTGTGAAGGATTTCAGATATCATAGTGTTCAAACTCCTGCTGTATGCAAGTGAAACTGAGATACAAGGAAGTACAGGTAAAGCTGGGCTGGAGTTCAGGTTTCTTAATCATCTGTTCAATGCAATTTTTCTTTGCTCAGTGAGCAGGAGACAAAGGAAGAGAGGGGAAGAGGGCACCAGTGCCTTTGCTGAGCAGCCACCACCATGTACACTCCCACCATCCCGACCCTCCAGGTGCCACGTTCCCTTCTTACAGTGGAGAAAAGTAAGGCCCAGAAAGACACAGATGTTTATTCCAAGGAAGAGGCAGGCCTGCATATCACAAGGCAAGGCCACAGTTCACCTCTTCTGATGCCTGGTCCACACTTCCTCTCCTATTCTGTGACAGATGAAGTGGGTGGATTTAGGAGGCCTTCAGGGAAAGGGCAGAGTTCCATGGGCCAAGGGAAGATCTTCTTCTGTGAGAGAAGAAGCTCTCTGTAGGCAGCTTGACTTCTACTCCCAACTGCATCCCACAACAAAATGCAGATGGCCTTGGACAACCTGCTGAATATCTTTAAGCCCAGGCTCCTCATCAACATCTCCTTGATTCACAGCACCAGTGAGGTTATGGGGGCCTCTGAGATCTTTGAAAACCCTGAGTTACTGCACGCTCTTGAGGTTAACACAGAGAAATTAACACTAACACCATCTAGCCGAGGAGCGCAGCCACCTGGCACAAGGCAAGCTTCTTCACATGGTCCTTCTGACACTGCTGCCTTTGGAAGGATTCAGTTGTCTGATGGTCACTCTGCAAGCACCTCTACCCACGTAGGCCAAGGCCTGTGCTAGAGGAATGAAGGGGTCCCACTGACCCTGTACCTCCATCAACAGCATGCTGTGAGAAGTCCACTGCAGGAGCAGATAATTTTCTCTTCTCTTATTAGATTACGGGAAGTGAATGGTGTGGTCCTGTACCTCCTCTTCCCTCTTCTCTTAGCCCTGAACATAAGCTCAGGACATGCCATGCCCCAGGAAGTAGGGCACTCATCTGAAAGGAAGTTCAGGATAGTCCCCAGCTGGAACAGGACTCAGAAAGATGTTCCACTCATGAGCATTGGATGCAGATGCCAAAGGACAGTGAAGTAGTCTGCAAAGATAGCATCCCTCACACATATTTAAAGGAGAATAAGAGTTCATCAGATAAATGATAGGGGCAGAGGCAGCAGGGCCAGTGTTAGTCACATCAGAAGATGTGGGTGATCAAGAGCCTGAGATGGTCAGTTTTACAGTCCCTGAGGGTGAAATGTATGGCAGCTCCTTTGATGTCACTCATGGAGAAGAGAAAGACTGCTCTGAGCTCAGGCCACTAAAAATGCCACAACTAGGGGTCCCAGGATTATTCTTTCAGAGTGGGGTGGAGGACTACACCCAGGAGAGTCCTGCACTTCTTCCTCAGGAAGGACTCTGGGTGCTAAGGGTTCTACTGTCTACGTGTCCTGTTTCCCAACCGCTCTCTCTCTCACATACCTGACGCTGAGACCCAAGCCCTGCACCTTTGGCTTAATCCTAAACCAGCTGATTTGGGCACATGGCAGACACTCTTGCAGTGCATCTAAAATTCCTGTGTCAGCTCACCAGAGGACTTAGCAACTCAGTGCTGCGTGTCAGAGGGAGCACAAAGGCTTTGAAACAGCCATGGTGGATATTTTAAAGCCCAGACCTCTGACCCTTCAGTGAGCCCATAGGACCCTACACATGACTTGTTTACTTTTACTTGTCCAGAGCCTTGTTATGTGAACCCCAATTTACAATTTAGAAAATAAATTAACCAGAAGAGACAGACAGGCAAGATCACAGCTGATGGGCTGATGGTGTAGGGTGTCATTAAAACTAAGGAGAGTAGAAAAATAAGCCAAAGATGGCCTAATTGGGACAAACAGACCTTTAACATAGGACAGATCAACTCAGCCTAGGGCATTCTTGAATAGAAGCCAAGATTTCATACACAGAGTCACAAAGGAAACATGGCTATAATCAGTATACATTTTCTGTTTGGAAAGCACAGATTATGTAATTCAGGCATGAAGGGTCTCATTCAAGATAGCTGAGCACGTTAGGCAGTTGCTGATATTCAAAACCTAGGCATCACTTGGCCAGATCTCAATCACCTCAGAGAACTAACAGGGTTGTCATTTTTGCTTAACTGACCGTTTTCCAGGCACTGAGACAGGAATACATGTGTAATAATTCACAACTATGTGGGCAAGACACACAGTCACATAGGACAATTACATCCAGCACGAAGTCAATCAACACACACGCTTCTTTTCCTTTTTAGCTGAAGAGTTCAGAGGAAGGGGCAGCAAAGTCCTGGTGAGGTTACTGGGAATGCTTCATAAAGAGAGGAGTGGTTTTTTAAATATTTAGAAAAATATCGGGCAGACAGACAGAAGCTTTCTTTCCCCCTCAAAATATAGTTTTCTTTCCCCCAATAAATGTTCTCTGCTCTTAAAAAAAGAAAATTACAGAAGTATACTAAACTTATAAAGTCCCCTTCAAGTCACCATATATAATACGTCAACTAAGAAAAACAAAGGTGAAAGATTCACATTTTCTGATTGCAAAATTTAACACCAAGCTGCAGTGATCAATACTCTGTAGCCTTAAAAATCAAAGGACTAGAATACAGAACCCAGAAATGAACCCTTACATATATGGGAAGTGGTTTTTGACAAGTGTTGAGATGGTTCAGGGGGGAAAGGACAATCTTTCCAGAAAATGGTGCGAGGAAAACTGTAGATACACTCAGAAAAGAAAGAAGTTACACCTGTCTTCCCAACTGTATACAAAAAATAGTTCAAAATGGATAGAAGACCCAAGCGGAAGAGTAAAACTCAGAAGAAAACACAGATGAAAATCTTCATGGTACTAGATTTAGCAATGAAGACACCAAAAACACAGCCACAAAGGAAAGAAAAAGATAAATTGGACTTCATCAAAATTAAAGCCCTCTGTGCATCAGAGAACACTGTCAATGGGAAGGAAAGCTAATCTAGAGAATATATTTGCAAATCATGTATCTAATAGGGGATTACAATCTAGAGTATATAAAGATTTCTGATAAACAACTCAAGCAAAAAAAAAAGTTATTGTAAAATGAGAAAAGGACTTGAATAGACGAGTTTCCCAAGCAGTTGCATGAATAGCCAGCGAGCACATGACTTCACTAATTAGGGGAGTAAGAATTGAAACCACAAATGGAATACCATGTGACACCCAATGGATTGATTATTTTTTAACTAAAATATTCCTGTAGCTAGGGAGTGTGGAGATTGCAACACTTATGCAACACTGGTAGGAATATAAAATGGTGAAGTCCTTATAGAAAACAATATGGAAGTTCCTCAAAAAAATTAAAAACAGGGTTACTTTGACTAACTGATCCACTGGTGGGTATATGGGTATATACTCCCACAAAAGTGAAAGCACAGTCTTAAAGAGATATTTGTACTCTCATATTTACAGTAGCACTATTTATAATAGCCAAAAATTGGAAGAAATTTAAGTGTTTATTAATGAATGAATAAACAAAATGTATACTTACAAAGGAATATTATTCAGCTTTAAAAAGGGAAATGATTCTAATATATGCTATGACATGAGTGGATCTGAAGAGTTTCTGCTAACTATGGTCACAAAATGACAAATACTGTATGACTCTACTTACATGAGTTACCTGGAGTAATCAGAGTCATACAGACAGAAAGAAAATAGTGGTTGCCAAGGGCGAGGGAAGAAGAATTAATACGTTTAATAGTTTCAGTTCGGGAAGATAAAGAGAGTTACGGAGGCAGATGATTGTGATTGTTGCACAATATAATTAATATTTTAATTCCATGGAACTGTATTGGTAAAAACAGTAAATGTTATGTTATATAAATTTTACTACAATAAAATATGTAGGAAAATTATGCAAAATTACAGCTAAATGAGAGGAGGATCTGTAAAGCAAATACTAAGAACTGGATGCAAAATATTCCCTTGAAAACGTATTTGTCGTTTTCTCAATAAGAAGTGGAAGGATGTGGAGCTACCTGCTCCAGGAAATTTGGCGGGAACTGTGGAGAGTTTCCCACCATGGACCAGAGTCCGACTCCGTCTTGAGACCCAGAAAGAGCCTATGGCTGACCGAGTGGGAGAGAAGAGGGAGAAACATTGACAATGACCTCTTCACCAAAGCAGCGGCTCTGAGGCTGCCAGCTCTTGCTGGGCACAGCCCCTGCAGAAAGACGTCTTGGCTTTGAGTGCAGATTGAAGTGTTGGGTCATCTAAGGCACTTGACTTTATCATTTCTAAATCATAGCTGAATGGAAGCTGTGTTTTCAGACTCAGTGTGAGAGTACAATTTCTATGTCATAAGGTTATTTAGAGAACTCCCTGAATTTGAGGGATAAAGGAAGTACAGTCCATTGAACAAACTGTTTAAGAAAATTGCTTTAAGGGTCCCTCCTTGAGCCTGGTTCATTCCATGAACAGGTCTCTGTACATGCACAACCAGATCTCTCTTTCTGGCATCTGCAGCCTAGATCTCCCTTAGGCTTTTTTCTTCACCCTCATTGAAAATTCTTAAAAGT